CAAAGCCAGGGCCGTGCGTGGGGTGGCACTGTGGAGCCGGCCTGAGAACAGACGGGCACACAGCTGTCCCTGAGATCAGGGGAAGGAGTCCACAGTGACCCCAGGGTTCTGGTCTGGTGCCGTGGTGGTGCTGCTGATGAGACAGACCAGGGGAGGAGGAGCGTAGGTGACAAGTGTGGTTCTGAATGGTGGACACATATTCAGCCCAAAACCGTTCCAGTCCAGTGTGGGGCTTGGCACCTAGGAGACCCAGCACACCCTTATGTAAGTGAACTGTGCTGCCACGTGCACGTTTCCTGCCTCCCCGGGCCATGCGCTCCCCTCCCACTGGAGGCAGAGAGAGCCTCCTGCCTGGGGGGTCCTTGTTGGGGGGTCCTGGCCCTGCTTCACCTGCCCGTCCTTCCCCCAGATCCCAGTGCAGAAACCCTTGGGTACCCTGACAAAGGAAAATCCTGCAATTACTTTTACACCCTCTGCCTGCTTTCCTTCAGGTCTGCTGCCTGAATTCTATCAGGCCTCAGGCATGTGCGGCTACTCAGGCTAATCCTTCTTCCCGTGAAGACATGAGCAACTTTTTGGCGATGTTTCTCTTCCATAAATAGGACGTTCCTAAAATTACGTGGCGTGGGTGACCTGCCCTGGCCCTCCTGGCCTGCTGTGTCCTGGTTGGAGAGAAGGCCAGCTTCACCCTCTGCAGGGTTTTCTGGCTAATCAGCTACAGGCTATCGCTTTGAAAAATGTTAATATTCCACAGAAAACCAGCCCAGTTTCTGTAAAGAGCAAATACTATTGAATCCACTCTATGCAAACGGCTGTTGGAATGGCTCACTGGGGTCAGATCTCTCCCAGCCCCAGTCAACCCTCCTCTCAGTTCCTGTCCCAGTGCTCTTCCTGCTGACCTGGGCGGTCTCCAGACAGCTTGAGTGAAAGCCGCGAGCCACTGGTCCAGAAGCATCTTGCTAGAGGTGTGTTGGCAGAAGGTTGTCTCCCTAGTACTAACAGGGACATTTTACCCACCAAGGGATAATTCTCATCCAGCACCCCCGCTTTACAGATGAAGAAACTGAGGCTTGTCCGGGGCACAGCCAGGGCTGGATCCCAGGCCTGCTGACTTCTGCTTTCCCCAGACACCCTCTGGTGACCCATTCCGACGTGTGGCAGCGTTCACTTTTCCTGTCCAGAGGAAGGATTGTTTTCTAAAGAGCTGGCGGAGTCCCAAGCAGGAGACCCCCTGAAGGACTTGAAACCCTCTTGCTCCTGACGGCACACCCCACGCAGTGTCCCCTGAGGACGCTAACTTCTCCTCCAGATGTGACACTCCAGGGAGGACTGGAGACTCCGTTGACTCAGACTCACCTCCTGATTTCTTCTGGACATCAGAATGAGTGTGGATTTGTTGTTTTCTAGACCTTCATCAGGGCAGTGTGTCCCCCTAGATCACTCCCAGACCTTCCCCTGTGGCCAGGGACTCTGCTGTCACCCTGGCTGACTTGCAGGATCTGGCTGCTTTTCAAGACTCCAGCCTTTCCGTGTGACGAGCTCTGGCAGAGAGCAGCCTCCAGGAGTGGGACCAACCCTGCTCCTCTCCTGGGGGTGTGTACCTGGTAGCCTCCACGCCTTCCCCTGGGAGGAGCATGTTTTCCTTTCTTGCATAATCTGATTTCCACCCCTTTGGACTAAAAATTCTACTCCTCATTACCCCACCTTCTACCCCAAAGCTCCTAGCAAAGCAAACACCCTCACCTAGACAGGGAAAGGACGGAGTTCAAATCCTGAACAAACGGCACGGGTGCTCCAGGCTGCCCCAGGGATGGGCCCAAACCCTCCAGGAGGTGTTCTGTGAGGTCCACACAGCGCCACCTCCTGGGGGGAGAGGGACAGGACACTTTGACCCCCATTAAACATGAAACCTACACAGTGGTTCTCACTGGAACCACCTGGGAACTTCATAAAATATTCACGCCTGGGTCCCACTCCCAGAAGCTTCTATTGGCCTGGGGTGTGGCCTGGCCTTTTCAGAGCTCCCTAGGTAACGGTGCAGCCAGGCTGAGAAGCGCTGCTGTAGAGGGCCATCAGGGTAGAGAGAGCCTCAGAGACCGCCTATACCAGGGCCCGGCACAAGGCTGGGCTTCAGCCCCAAGCCTGAAGGCGTTGTCTTATGTGGATGACCATTTCTCTGGGCAAAACATCCAAAGCTTTTTATCAGATTCTCGGTAGGTTCCATGTCCCCCAACAGATTAATTGTCCCCAGTCCATCTAAACCCATCCCTTTGGAGATCCCAGATCCCACGCTCAGCCTGCACTCGGGATTGGGGAGCAGGGTTGACAGACCTAGTGGGTAATGGATGATGTGCATATTTCCTTAAAGAGACTACACCCATTACAAGCCAAGTTTCTCAGCTGTTTGCGAGTTAGATCAATGCAGTGTGGTCACAGTGACTGTTTCATGCTGCTCAGAATCTCTTATCTCTTCCTGGCACTATCATGTGCCTTTGATTAATAAAAAGTGAGAAATGAATTATTACTTAATTAATACTCTGTGTTTGCTAGGGAAAAGCCCTCAAAACATAAGGTGCATGGGAAAAAGTAATCAAAGGGGTCCGTGGTAGTTATAGGTTGGGAACCACTGGTCTAATACAACCCCCTTATTTGAGAGATGAAGAAACAGGCCCAGAGAGGTTAAGGGAGTATCTTTAAGTCACACAGCTAGTTATGCAAAGTTAGGACCCTCACCCAAGCCTTCCAGACATGCTCTAGGGGGCAGAAAGAACATGTGCAGGATATTTTGCTGGAAACCCTCACTTTACACAATTCCATTGACCCAGACTCAGGAAATTCCTCACTGGTCCTGGAGGTTGTGTGGGCCAGAGATAGCCACCACCCACGGAGATTTAGAAAACCCATTGTAGTCCAGGATTTCATAGCATCGAAGATACTATCAGTTGTCAGATCCACCATTGTTTTCTGTACCACTAAGAAAAAGTGCTGCCAAGTGTAATTGTAAGTTGCCATTAATCAGAGGATGCGTCTCAGTTTTAGAGATGTCAAAATGTGAGAAAGAGTGTGCACCGTGGGACTGAAGAAATGTGGCTCGTTAGCCTCTCCGTTCCTGTAGGAGCTGGACGGCGGGCGATGTTCTTCCACCTGGCTCTCTCACCTGCTGGAGGCGCTGAGTGGGATAAATGACACTGAAAAGAAAACAGATATATTTAAAAAGTGGAAGCGAGTAGTGGGGCAGAACCAGCCCTATCTGTGGGATCCAAGGACCAAGTCCTGGATTGGCCCTCAGAAGACTTGGGTTTGAACCTCAGTTCTGAAATTTCAGTGGTGTCATCTTGGGCACGTTCTTATTCTTTCCAAGCCTCAATTTCCTCATCCACAAAACAGAGATAATATGTGCCCTCCCACCCTGCCCCGTCCTCACAGAACTGTTGCAAAGCTCAGAAGAGAAAATGGTAAAATACATGTAAGTTGAGTGATGTAGGTGCCTAGCACGTTAATTGCTAAGCACCACCTTCCACCTGCTCTCTGTGACTGCCCATAACAGAGCACTGTGAAATGACAGAGTGGGTTATGCAGAGAGTCATTCTGGGCCAGATGGGGACAGCTTGTAGGGGCAAGTGTGCATGGATGGAGCCCAGCGGGGCTTCTCTAACTTTGTCACACTCAGGATCTCTTAAGGGAGCCTCCAGCACCCATCTGAGGAAGAGAGCTCATCCTTAAATGGGCAGAGAGACTAGGGGCCAGACAGAAGTCTGCCTTCCCAGGAGCAGGTGGCAGATGTGGTCAGAGATCCCAGGGGCCCTGCCCCTCTAAATCCTGGCCAGACACCCCTAATACTCCTCACCTGGCACCTTGAGGACACACACACATGCGTGTGCACACACACACACATCCCTACCCACCCCTACTTTTGCTGAGCCTAAGAGTCACAGAAAGGGTTATTCAGCCCCATTGCAGAAAGAACTAGGCAAGCAAGCCACCCAGCTGTATTTCCCAGGTCCCCTTTCTAAGGAGGCATCCCCCTGACCTGCCCATCAGCAGTGTCCTGTCCCTGCCCCCTTCTCAGGCCCGAAAGGGAATCAGACAGGTAGCAAAGAAGAAATTTCCTCTCCTCCTCCAGCTTGTGGAGCACACGTCCCTTCAATCGTGGAGGCAGCGGGGCTGAGCCAGCAGGCCCTGGGCTCTGAGCTCTCGTCCTGGGCCTGCCCCTAACTGCCACTAACTAGAGACAGGACCTCGGGCAATTGACCTTTCCTCTGTGGGCCTCAGTTTCTTCATCTGTAGAATGGGGATGAGCTCAGCCGTGCTTCCCCCAGGGGCACAGATGGTGATGGAACGGGCGGCTTGTGAAAGTGCCGGCCAGGGAACAGGGACAAGAGGGAAGGAGCACTGTGGGGGAGGGAGGGGGAGGGGAGGCTGGGAATCCGGAGGCAAAGGGACTTGGACGCACTGGCTGTCCCACAATTGCACTTGTCCCCTGTGCCCCCCGCCCCCGCCTCCCCCGTGTTGGGGACGCAATAGGCATCGTGGTAAGAGGCAGCATGGAATGGGGAGTCAGGCCTGGATGCAAGTCTCCTGACCTCTCCTTGGGCAAGCAAACCGTTCTCACAGGCTCTTTGAAGGGCTAAATGAGATGACGCGGTAAAAAGGGCCTCGCGGGCCGGCCCCGTGGCTTAGCGGTTAAGTGCGCGTGCTCCGCTACTGGCGGCCTGGGTTCAGATCCCGGGCGCGCACCGACGCACCGCTTGTCCGGCCATGCTGAGGCCGCGTCCCACGTACAGCAACTAGAAGGATGTGCAACTCTGACATACAACTATCTACTGGGGCTTCAGGGAAAAAACGAAAAGGAGGAGGATTGGCAATAGATGTTAGCTCAGAGGCGGTCTTCCTCAGCAAAAAGAGGAGGATTAGCATGGATGTTAGCTCAGGGCTGATCTTGCTCACAAAAAAAAGGGGGGGGGACCTCACGTGTCCTGCTCTGACCGGGTTTTCTGCAGGTGGGCGGGGCCGCCGTCATGGCGGTAGGCGTCTGGACCCTGGTGGAGAAGAGTGGCTACCTCAGCGTCCTGGCCTCCAGCACCTTCGCCACTTCCGCCTACATCCTCATCTTCGCGGGCGCTCTCGTCATGGTGACTGGCTTCCTGGGCTTCGGCGCCATCGTCCGGGAGGACAGGGGCTGCCTCTCCACGGTGAGTGCCCACCTCCCCCGCTCTGCCCGCCCTGGGGGTGGAGGGGGGGAACCTGCCCAGGGGCCTCAGAGAGCCAGGCCAGAGCCGCCTCACCACCCAGCCTGTCGCCCCAATCAGGCTTCTGTACTGAGACCCCCAGCGAGTGATAGCGCCCCAGCCCTGGAGTCTGAGGCCTCGGGACAGCTGCAGAGGGGCCAGCTGCCCGGGCCTGCTGTTTGCCCGAGTCTCTACAGGACCTCAGCCAGGAGGGCAGCCTCAGCCGTGCTGGCGCAGCTGCTCCTCCTTCCCTCCTTCTCCCACACACCCTACCTTCCACGTCCTTCCTCCTCCGCCTCCTCCTCTCCTCCCAGATTTCGTCATGGTGATTTTCAAAGATACACAGAAGTGAAAAGTGTCATAATGAAGCTCCATGTCCCATTACCCAGACTCCACAACTGTCATCTCAGAGACAGTCCTGTTCCATCTGGACCTCCAGACATCATGTCCCCTGTGGATGTCTCAGTGTGTACCTGAAAACTTAAGGATCCTTTTTAAGAAACCATAATGACACTACCTTTATCACCCCTAAAAACAGTTAACTGTCATTCCTTAATATCGTGAAATAACAAAGGAGTTTCAAATTTCCCCAAGTGACCCATAAACTGTTTTTTTTTTTAAGGTTGTTTGGATCAGAATCTAAATTAGGTCCATATGTTAAAACTGGTCCATTTGTCTCCTTAGTGTCTAAGCTACCCCATCAGTCCTTCTCCTTTCTCTTTTTCTTTGCAACTTATCTGTTGAAGGAACTGGGCCATTTGTCCTACAGTTTCTCTGGGTTTTCTGATTGCATCCCTGTGATGTTGTTTAACATGTTCTCCTGGTTGTTGGTTCTAGAAGCTTGATCAGACTCAGGGTTGATGGTTTGGCAAGAGTATTTCATGGGTGGTGGTGTGGGCAGCACAGGCTCCTTAACAGACTTCCACTTGGGGAGCTGGGGGACTTTCCATAGTGGCTTAGAGTGTCAGGAAAGGAGGCCTGGGTGGGACTGGCAGGGGGCAGAAGCCAGAGTCCTGCTCAGGACTCGCAAGACCTGACCCCCTAACTCCTGTGCACCTGTTGCCAAGGCAGGTACCCCTCCCCTTAACCTCCTCCTGAGAGCCCAGCCCGGTGTGGGCGGGGGAGGCTACAAACACCCGGACTTAGTGGGGAAGGGCTGGGGCCGGAAGTGGTCCAAGTCTCATCGAGAAATCAGGTTGAGCTGAAAGCAGTCAGGCGGGAAGAAGCCTTAACGGCTGTGCTCTCCCTGCCCTGCTTCCCCATGCCCCCGCTGACTGGGCAGCCTCGGCCCTTGCACATCCAACCAAGGGAGCAGGGGGCAGTCGAGGGGCCCCTGCAGCCTCGCTCACCAGCGGTGACCTAGGTTTTTAGCTCTGGATACAAAGCGCCTGTGTACAAGCTCAGCAGAATGGCTTTCCCCTGCCTAGAGAAATTCCTGAATTCTGCTCCCGGGGATAGCCCAGAGCCAAGGCGTGAGCTGCGTGATGGTGGCACATCCGCAGGGTGAAGTCCCCTGGGACCAGCTACCAACACGCAGGCTTTGATGTGTGCTGTCTTGCCAGTGGTGGGACAGGTGTGCCCTGAGCCAGCCCCGTCCCTGCCAGCCATCCCCCACGTGGCCTAGCATGAGTCCTTGCGAGCCTGTCGGACATCCTCGATCTGATCAGTGTTAGCTGGGTGAAGAGATGGGGGGTGACCTAGTGACTGGGCCTGTGGAGTGGCTGGGGGAGAGGTTCCAGCCTTTATGGGGCCTGAGGCTTACAGGGACCGGTGCTGCTGGGCCCAGAGAGAAAACCTGTCCCCTACATTATCAGTGACCCCACCTTTGCCCTGCTTAGCCCTAGTCCCTTAGGAAGAGGGGCCTTTGGCTTGGCCTCAGGTGTCAGGCTGAGTCCTCTGGCCCATGGAGACAGGCTGCTGAGCCGTGTGCTCGCTGGCTGCCCCTTCCTTCTACCACTACAGCCCAAGAAGGAAGGCAGAGGCCCTCACTCGGGAACCTTCCTTCTGGCTCAGAGCCATCTCTCTTGGTTCTAAAGGAACCCCCAAGACCAGTGGTCCCCTGCAGCACTGGGAAGCATCCCTGTGCTTTCCACCCAGGATGCAATTATAACACAAATGGGCACCGCTCTTTGAGAGCCCCTCCCTGTCTGCTTATAGTAGCAACCCTGCGAAGTCACAGTAATTGTGAGCTCTGGGTGCCCTGTGCTGTTCCAAACACTTGTGCTGTTAACTCCTTTAATCCTCACCCCAGCCCTGGAGGTGTTGATTCTTGTCGTGTGCATTTTACAGGTGAGGAAGCTGGGGACAGAGGGGTTAAGCAATTTCCTCAAGGTCACACTGCTAGTGAGTGGCCCTCAGTCTGGCTCCCAGGCCCATGCTCCAACCCTCCACACTGCACTGCCTCCAAAGGCATCATTCAGCCCACCACACAGATGAGAAAACTGGCCTGGAGGTGTGGAGCCAGTAAGTGCTGGAGCTGGACGTGAATTCCAGTCTGTGGGAATCCCCTGCAAGAATCCACATCGCCTGGGGAGGCCAAGCACCATGGAGGGCAGAGGGACACGCTGTTCTCCAAGTCTGTGGACATCAACGCAGAGCAGCTGCTCTCAGGTATCTGGGTGGGTGCAGAGAGGGCTCCCAGCAGGGAGCAGCCAGAACCCTAGGGCAGGAGACCAGGGCGATTGGGGCTGGACCCTAGAAGCTCCTTGCTCTCATTATAATATGGCAATAACAGGGCGCATGGTCAGAGCATGTCCAGTTTAGAAGGGAACTTGAGGATCATTGAGTCCAACACTCCATCCAAAGGTCCCAGGCTGAAGGACACTGGGTGGGTGAGAGTGTGGGTCACCCAGGCATTAATGGGGATACTCAGCATTGTTGGCCTTTTTGGAGAACAGGCTGATCATAAGAGCTCCTCCCCTTGGCAGTCTCAAAGACCAGAAGGAAAGCTTGAGGTTCGGTAACTGAGAGCACTCTGCCCTCCAGCCACTGATCACAGCCTCCCTTCTTCACTCCCTTCCTTCACGATCCATTTGGAAGACCTGTCCCACCATGCAGGCTGAGCCATTAGGAAAAGGGACGTCTCCAGCCTCCCCAGTCATAGCCTGGCTGTCACTTGGTCTGAGGCCTGCCTGGGGGGACCAAGCCCTGTGCCCAGGGCTGTGCAGGGAAGATGTGGAGACTTCTGGAACGCCAGGGCCTCGGGCCTACAGGCCTGGTGCACTCCTCTAGCCCCACCCTTCTGAGCTTCAACAGATGGAGAGGCCTGCTCATCCCTCTGGGCCTTGAGGCAGGGCGGGGGCACGGGGGCCGCTGGACAGGCTGGGGTGAGATGCCCTCCTTCTTCTCAGCTCCACTTTACCCCCCATCTACATTCACTTCCATCCCACACAGAACTGTTGATCTCTCTGGTCCAACACCACCCATCAGACGCATCAGGAGGCACCAGCTTGAAACTGAGGTCAGGAAAAAGTGCATGCACACACCACGCATGCACATACACACGCATGCGCGCACACCCACACCCACACACACACACACACACAGAGCCACCAGTCCAGGACTGGGGACTGGCATCTCCCCCCGGGGGGCTAACAAACAGCAAAGCTCAAAGCCTAGAATCTTCTTCCTTTGCTGTCCCCTGCCCCCGCTGAAGAAAACAAAGACAGCACCGGCCCAAGGACAGCCCACGAGGTGGGCAGCAGGTCCCAAGTAACCCACATCCCGGCCCCCAGCCCCAGAATTGCCGGGCACTTGATTGTTTAAACCGAGAAGGTGGCGGCGAGACCTCCCTTGGACTAACACAAGTAGGAGTTTTAAAACCCAGGCTCCCATTTGGAGGCAGTAGTGAGGCTAAGGCAGTTCAAGAGTGTTCTGTGGTTCCTGGAGGTTCCTTCCTGGTCTCATTTCATCTTTTCCCCTCCGTGTCTAACTTCCTTTTTAAATCTTTAATCAGCTGAAGGCTGAAGGAAACTCCAAAGGGGAAATGCAGTGGGTCCAGCTCTATGCAAACTGGTCCCCAAAGAGGAAAGGGAAAGATGAGAGAGCGTGCCTCTGAGTGCTGCGCATCCAGCTGAGACCTGGGGGAGGGAGAGGCCTGACATCACAGGTTCCCCGAGAACGGCCCGGAGAGGGCAGGCCACCCCGCCCAGGCCCAGCGTCTGTCTCCCTCAAGGCCTGCTCCAAGCTCATCTCAGCCCCTCAGAGTCACTTTCCCCAGGAGGAAATGTGCATCCGGGACAGGAATAGCACATTGTTGCTGGTGCTGAAATGACAGCCACTCAGCGTCGGAAGTCTGCGAGGGGGACAGGGAATGGGGCTTAAATTATTCACACCAGATCTTCTTTTTTAGCAAAGACTGCATGAGAGAGCCAGACAATTCAGGCCATCCAAGCCTAAGGCCGATGACCAGGACAGATGCCACCTTGATCAAAAGAAAGGGATATTTTTAGAGTTTTGAAGATGGGCTCTGAAAACTTTTATATCTTAAGCCAAATGAAGATTATGATGGATGGTTCAGGCTAAATTGGGCCTTTGTCAAGGGTTCTTTTATATTTAGGGGATGGATTTAAAAAGTAAGAAGTTCTAAAACCAATTTCCAAAAATGAGGGGACCCCAAATTGCAACGCTTCCACCAAACACATCCAGACTAGGTTAACCAGGGCAATGAGGCCTAGAATAAGGGCTGGGCTCAAAAGCAGGTTGTAGAGTGGCTTGCCCAACTTGCTCTGGGACCTCAGGGAAGTCACTCAGCCACTCCTGGCCACCTTGGGGTCCCCGTCTTTATATGGGGTGAGGTGTAAGAGAATGAGGAAGTATTTTAGGTCTTAGGAAACGAGTCAACACATTATATAAAGATCATAAAATGTGGCTATAATTATCATTTACATCACCATCACCATGACCAAGCTCCTCTGAGAAGGAACCTAAATAAATGGAGTTATTCTTAGGGCCATTACTCCCAA